AATTATGTGCTGTGTTGTATATGGTTGAAGCACTTAGAGATTAAATAAATGATCAAATTAATTCAGTAATCAAATATATCTATCAACAATTTATGATAATCAGTGGACATAATAACAGCTATTGATTTTATTACAAAGCCCTTATCTATACGTGACAGCATTAATGTAAGTTAGTAATTTGTAACTTGTACCTTAACGTATTTTTATATTGAAAAATACATGTTATAATTGTTTTTGTTACTTAAAGTTGAAGTATCCACACAATAGCTTATTCAAAATGGGATCGATTTCTACAGACGCTAAAGTCAGATAATTCTGACAACGGGAGACGTAAAAAAGGGAAGGTCAGTTGAAGAAATCCTAAGTGTTATAACGGGTCAGTAGATCAAGTAAGGTCTCTTCTGTGTTCCCTAAAAAGGATACGAAAGAAAAAACCCTGTGATGCTGCACGCAGCCCCGTATCAGTTGTGTAGTGGGGTCGTACTGTTATTTTCAAACGTTGTCGAACTTATCTACACGTGCATCCGACTCATCAATGTTGTGTTAAGTATTGGGACCCCTACGATACTAGCCTAGTAAACGTTTTTCAAACATACAAAACGAGCGTTTCTATAAATCGCATTATTCGCGAGGATCTAAGTTTTCGATCGACAATCCTATATACATATCGCAACAATGCTATGGACGTTTATTATCAGTGAATTAATCGGTGAAATTGATTTCCTCACCGAACATAACATAAATAACCGAGAAGGACTCTCATGGGTTGCAGTGCCTGTGCTCTAGGATTCAAGTCAGGTGGCACAATAAAGCAGGGTTCCACCAAAAAACATAACATCTCAAGCACACACGTATGCATGCACACATTTTAATGTATTAGCAAGGTGGCATATAGTCAATATATAGCTTCAGATCAGGTAGATCCTATGCATTTCTCAATTATTACATCGATTGATTTATTGTATTAACACATTAAAGCTGTGCTTAGAAGTGTAACGAAAACCTAACATTGCATTCCACTGTAAAATGCAACGCATATTACACCAATGTTATATATGTTTGGTTCTATCTTAAAATTGTTGGGAGGGGATACTGACTTTTACAGGACACTCATCTTTTAACGATTACGAGATTCAAACACCAGCTATCTGGCTGGAACACCGGAGTGTTCCCCACTCGGGACAATCTGCCTATATGGTTGTTTGTGCAATGTATATTTATATATAAGAAAGCAAATCTCATTATTTTCGTATTTCATACGTATATGGTTATATATTATCGTTTTAGCATTTGCTATCATACATGTCAGCTATTTTAGATTAATCCTGTTATAGATTCAATTGTGTCTGAAAATTACAAACGAATATTTATACTCGGACGAAATAAGTACTCATGTGTACCATTTACTGGGCTGATATACAAACCTATTACTGAACAATATTCATATTTTTGTGTTACAGATGGCCAAATATTGAAAGCGGTCATTTCACTTATAACGTTTTTAAATACGTTCTTAACATGTTTCATGCCAAATAAGTCCTGATACAGTTTTATTTTTGCATCAATTGTCATGAGGATAGCGATTTTTAACTACTAAATTGTACATTTGTTTATTAATTAATCTCGAAATATATAAATTAGATTTTAACTAAAATAAGACCTGTGTGTAGTTTAGTTCAGCATGTCTGTCCTGTTACCATTTATGATGTGGTGGCGCATCAACATCAATCAGTAAACGGTAAAAACTCTGATAGGACGAGTAAACCAACGATAGACTACTGATAGGACGAGTACACCAACGATAGACTACTGATAGGACGAGTACACCAACGATAGACTACTGATAGGACGAGTACACCAACGATAGACTACTGATAGGACGAGTACACCAACGATAGACTACTGATAGGACGAGTACACCAACGATAGACTACTGATAGGACGAGTACACCAACGATAGACTACTGATAGGACGAGTACACCAACGATAGACTACTGATAGGACGAGTACACCAACGATAGACTACTGATAGGACGAGTACACCAACGATAGACTACTGATAGGACGAGTACACCAACGATAGACTACTGATAGGACGAGTACACCAACGATAGACTACTGATAGGACGAGTACACCAACGATAGACTACTGATAGGACGAGTACACCAACGATAGACTACTGATAGGACGAGTACACCAACGATAGACTACTGATAGGACGAGTACACCAACGATAGACTACTGATAGGACGAGTACACCAACGATAGACTACTGATAGGACGAGTACACCAACGATAGACTACTGATAGGACGAGTACACCAACGATAGACTACTGATAGGACGAGTACACCAACGATAGACTACTGATAGGACGAGTACACCAACGATAGACTACTGATAGGACGAGTACACCAACGATAGACTACTGATAGGACGAGTACACCAACGATAGACTACTGATAGGACGAGTACACCAACGATAGACTACTGATAGGACGAGTACACCAACGATAGACTACTGATAGGACGAGTACACCAACGATAGACTACTGATAGGACGAGTACACCAACGATAGACTACTGATAGGACGAGTACACCAACGATAGACTACTGATAGGACGAGTACACCAACGATAGACTACTGATAGGACGAGTACACCAACGATAGACTACTGATAGGACGAGTACACCAACGATAGACTACTGATAGGACGAGTACACCAACGATAGACTACTGATAGGACGAGTACACCAACGATAGACTACTGATAGGACGAGTACACCAACGATAGACTACTGATAGGACGAGTACACCAACGATAGACTACTGATAGGACGAGTACACCAACGATAGACTACTGATAGGACGAGTACACCAACGATAGACTACTGATAGGACGAGTACACCAACGATAGACTACTGATAGGACGAGTACACCAACGATAGACTACTGATAGGACGAGTACACCAACGATAGACTACTGATAGGACGAGTACACCAACGATAGACTACTGATAGGACGAGTACACCAACGATAGACTACTGATAGGACGAGTACACCAACGATAGACTACTGATAGGACGAGTACACCAACGATAGACTACTGATAGGACGAGTACATCAATGATAGACTACTGATAGGCAAGTACACCAACGATAGACTGCCGATAGGACGAGTACACCAACGATAGACTATTGATAGGACGAGTACACCAACGATAGACTACTGATAGGACGAGTACCCCAACGATAGACTACTGATAGGAGGAGTACACCAACGATAGACTACTGAGAGGACGAGTACACCAACGATAGACTACTGATTGGACGAGTACACCAACGATAGACTACTGATAGGACGAGTACACCAACGATTTGTCCCCATACAATATAACCTTGCTGAGATTACAATAACTGTGACATATGGTGACACAGTTCTACATGTATATTAACCTTTACTAAGTTAACACATTGTCCCTTTGTTGAAACCATATGTCACAGTTAATCTAAACGTTTTTAGTCAAAATGCCATTTTGTCACCTTTCATATTCATCGCACTCCTTTGAATAAATAATTTAACACCTTCATTAAAGATAAGAGCCTTATTTGCAATACTCATTTGAATAAATAATTTAACAACTTTATTCAAGATAAGAACCTTATTGGCAATACTTACTTTGTATATAAATATGAATCTTTTCCTTTTTTTCTTTATCTTTGCTAGTTACCATTTTTATTTTAAGCCCTACTTAATTACAAACCATCTTGAAGTGTAAGATCTAATAACTATGGTTTATTCAGTGATTGATAGAAACTTAAGTTTAAACGAAGCTACAAGGTAATTTCTAAATCTACGATTCTTACGTTGTTACCATAGACTTTGAGCCGCGAAGACAAACGAAATATGTAAATGTACACTACTATCCAGGTTACAATATCAGCCGTAGCCGACTTGTTATTTGTAGGTATGAGGCTGTTGACCATTGCGACATCAAAGCCTTTTTCAATGGCGAGCAGGGTGTATGGTAGTCAAATTCAATAGCATTTATTAGCTTAACAATTTAGTGTCGTAGCTTGTGATTTCTAGACTGAGAAAACTTCTTTAATCTAGTCTTTTGATTTTGAACCTTTGACTAATGAATCAAGTGCTGTTTAAACGAAGGTTGTGGCCATCAGGGGACTGAGTGGCGGGTCAAAAAGGATTTTTTTTCGGTTGACCAAGCATTTTTCCCAAAATGGTGCTGTTTTTAACAAAGAGTGTGGCCATCAGGTGGCTGAGTTGCTTGGCCAAAAAAGGGGCAATGTTTGATTGACCATGTTTTCTTCCAAAAAGTTGTTCGGTATATTTAAACATACTGAATGTATATATCTTTTTCAATTTATAGAAACCAGTAGCATAGGCACTTGACACGTCCATTTATTTTTGGTTGTACTTGCATACTTGTTATTTAGCGTTTATTTTGTATGTGTATTTTTTTCGTGTTAATAGACATAAGTATAGCTTTAGAAGGAACATGTAAACATGTAAGGAACTGTATTTTTCGAATAAATTATAATATGTTAAGCACTGTTCCTACATAATATTTAAAAAATATAAAAAAAATATGATACACTCGTTAATAAAAGCTTGTTACACCACAAATCGAAAAAGCAAACCATATCGCCTCAAAATGGTCAAAACTTTTTTTTTTAATTTATTTTTTTATCTTTTTAAGAATATGAAATAATCAATCGTTTTTCTGACAGAAAGGAAAAATAACTTAAGGTCAAAATCATGCTGCATGCGAAACAGGATTTACGTTTTTTCAACATTTTTGTTTTTATTGATCAACGGTGCAGGGAGGGCACTGACCTTCACACTTAGAGTGACTGGTAACTCGAAGGGAGATAACCGGAGTTCTAATCCTAAAGCTTGCTTTTTCGCCTTCTTTCACCAAGAGGTAGATGGAATCATTTCCACTGGGTTTTGAAACAACAGTCCTCCAAACTAACCTTGGTCTATGCACCTTGCACAACTGGAAAGCTCCGTAAATGATCGGATTCAGCATGGAATTGGACAGACCCATTGTGGACAATCCCGCCATTAACGAAGGACTCAACTCTTCCCATTGACCAAACGCATTTCCGGTGAATAGCACGTAATACGGAAACCAACAAACGACGAAGGCAATGACGATGAAAATGGACATGCGCAATGCTTTTCTTTTGGCTTTCTTTAGCAAATTGTTTCTTACTTGTCCCCTTCCAAGGTCATTTTTATTCGATGTTGTGTCGTTGCCTGAAAGTAGAAAAATGCAACATAATTAATAGAACTTTTTTCTCAGACATTTGCTTCTTATCTAGATTTCATTTGTTTTATGCTATTGACATCCACAAATTTACTTTCAACCGTGACTTTACCGACATACTTCCATAGTTGATCAATTATCAGGTCCTTCTTGATGTAGAGTAGGTGAAGATAAGTTTCATTGCATAGCTGACGGGTGGTGATAGCCTAATTACTTTTCATAGCCACGTACATCGCCTACGATTTCTAATTACAGACAGGTAAGAACACGATTAAATCATTAACAGAAGGAATCAGGTGTATCCGTCTTCACTAAACTGGCTTTATGATGTCATGTATTGACTAATTATATTTAATAGTTGACTGATCCTTCCTGAGAGTCAGTTCACCAAATTTATATAGTATTCAAAATTGGCACGATGACGTCACAGTTCTCGACTTTGATAATCGTATACCAAAGCAAGGGTTGTAAGCGAAAGGATTACTGATGAAGCAGCAATAATTAAAAGATTTATCTGGGCATTTGTACGATGTCTGATTAAGTCGGCAGCCTTCTTTAAGAAGCTTACCCAACGTGTTGATGTCCTGCTAGCAATTACTCATTCCAACACTGACTAAGTAAAAGCCTCTCACTGGGTTGCTGATTCTGTTTAATTGGATTCATGAACACTCTGCTCGTCTGGTTAAAGTTTTTTATTTGCATCAAAGTTTAACACACGTGATACATTCTTTACAGCTAAGGAGACATTTTACACTTAACATCTTTGAGTCAGACATCTTAACTACAAGGTCACCATATAGGCCCTGAATAATACGGTATTTACACGTGCATGTTGCATAAATCTCAATATACATCTAACTATTTTTAAAGAGTATTTTGTGCAAAGTTTCCATATTGAAATGAGACGTATAAAAATAGATCTGGTGAAGGACGGTTGTACTGTATGATATAACCTTAAAACGCTTATTATTGAAGTATAGCCAAAACTAAATTATTTCACTTCATGCAATAATTGACCTAACTGAGTTAATATCTATCTATTTTGATATCAACTGTTGATTAACCTGGTCCTAATTACCGAGCGATCTTATAGGTATTTTAGTTTGATATCAACTATTACCGAGCGATCTTATAGGTATTTTAGTTTGGAACTCTTTTGAAAAAGAAGTAAGTATCAAAACAAAGTAAACCTACCTCCACGCGAAAGAGTAAGTAATCATTTTAAACAAAGGTAATCGGTTAATTGAATGAAAAAGAAAGAAAATTGTTTTTGTGATGCATTAATGAACAGTAACTTTCTTACTAAGGACTGATAAAGGAACGGATGCACAACTATGTCTGTTAATCTTTTGTGGTGCAGACAGGCACATAGGCAGCGTTGTACGTATGTCTCTGGGGTATACGGTGTTCATAAGTAATTGAATACACTCAATTTGCCAGAACCGTATTTTATATGGGGTCTTAGGGGAGTGTAACACGTCAAAGAGTAATTAGAAAAGCACGGTAATGTTCTATTTCATGACGTCAGAATAAAACATTATTGTAGATTTTTTTCTGAAACATTCCGTTCAAGGATATTGATATTGATTAGTTTGCACAATATTTCACAGTATCAAGACATACGACAACGTAATGGTTTTTTGTTGTTATTGGAGTCTGTCTATTTATTCTGAATCAATCTTATATTCCGCCATTGATATTTCAATGTCCAGTTTTATACAAGTGACAAAAAGGAAGCGTGGCGAAATCCTTCAATAAAAGATTTAAATGATCGTATAAATAATTAATTCAGCAAAAGAAAATAAGCAATTAACAAAAATAAATAAAAATAGAATACAAAAATCCCAACAACACCCAATCCAGTCCCTATATTGTTACATCTTTTTGAAATTTAACGTATGCATAGTTTGATAAGTACACCGTTAAGACAGTTACATTTAAATCCAGCCTGAATAGTCATAATTCTAAAATGCAATTTTGTGATGTGTTAACTTTTTGTTAGTTTACCTCATTGCCAGGAAAATCTATGCATCATATCGTTTCTTAACCATATTTGAATACAAGTTTCCCATTTTTATTGATGTGGCCCTATGGGTGACAAAACATTTGTATTGATGTGGCCCTATGGCTCACAAAACATTTGTCCAAAACGTTTTGCTGAGAATACCGTGTCACGATAAATTGCTTAGTATGCGAGTCTCAAACTTATTGACGAGAGTTCTCGACCTATTACTGAGTAAACTGATTTTAAGCTAACGATACCGCGTCACGACCTATTGTGGTGAATACGGGTCCCAAACGTATTGCTTAGAATAGTATATCAGGCGGTATTTTGTGAATTACATGTCCCAAATGTATTGCTGAGAATACCATGTCTCGGCCCATTGCTTACAATACGAATCCTAAACTTATTGTTGATGATACCTGGTGTCAATCGATCTTTTTTCTATTGGGATCACATTTTTCTACGTTTCACAGAATGCAGTCACACATTGAGAGCTCGTACTAACCATCGATATCCACATGTTCCTGTTAAAACGCTACATGTGAGATCAGTGGCAATAACTTAGCCTTACATCCTCGAGTTCAGCCTTCAAGTCGACATAACAGCTGTCACATCACCTGCTGTGTATACCACGTAGGTACTTCACGTCGACATAGCAGCTGTCACACCACCTGCTGTGTATACCACGTAGGTACGCTAGGTCTAATTATAGTTCATTTATCTAGGCCGAATCTAAAAAGCGTATGATGGGATCACAGCTATTTATTGCCATCTTTTTTATAGTATTGAGCATGCAAACGTCAATACATTGCCTTTTAACAAATATGTATTTGGCTTATCTTCATCAAGACATGCAATATTCGAAATTCGCTAGGTGATCTTACAACATGCTACACACATAACTGTGAATCAGTACAAAGGGGGTCTACCAGTAACACGTGAGTCTACGCCCTGCACTAAATATTTGTGGTCAAAACTGCATCGTGAATATCGAAACGTATGTTTACCATAATATCAACTAGCTGTACTTTACAAATGTTCTCAATTACCTTATATAAAATTGTTGTGATTCCTACTGTTTTAGTACGGTAATTCATGTTAAACAGCGGGATATGTGAGTCAATACAACCCTTCTTTGCCTTGTTTTACTGCAGAAAACAACTGGAATGGATTTAACAAACCGATATTCTAAATATTAAGATACAATAACAGTAAGACGTCGTTTCATAGCACATCCTAAATGTATTCCTCAAATTTAAATATAACGCATGTAGATTTCGATACATGTACTAGGGATACAAATGTATATTCTTCGCATAACTTTTACAGATCCAGAGGGATTACATAAGCATGCAGTGTATTCAAACATTGCATTTACTTCAAATAGAAGTCATAATCAACATAATGCCACCCAAAAATGACACTTCCCTTGAAAGCAATTTACTAATTCAGTTTACCATTGCTTGAATGCATGTACATTTCATCTGATATTCAAAGTATATCCTTTACTGAAACACAGCATTAATAACATGAACCGTTCTTAATAAAGTTTTCAAACTTATGTAATTAATTCGTGTAGGCCTGGATGGAAAGTGCAGAGGGTCGTTATGTTGAAACCCTGCATTTGATTCAAATCTAAAGATATGATTATGTATGCCTCATCAATAATTGTAGAAACAGATGTAGAAATGTATAATGCTACTGATCAAACTGTCTGATATCAGGCAGATTTTCACTGAATCGGTCAGCATTACCAAACATTATATAATGAGGTCATGAATTTAAATGTGTCACATCCGGTGCATTGTCACAATTGATGTGATAATCATTAAGTCAGAGTACATTTCGTAGGTTTAGAGAGTATTTTGTTTTGTTTACTCTCTCACTGTCGGCCGTGCCATAACGTTATGAAAAGAGATACGCAGCAATCAATTAATAATATTAATAATAATTCGAGGTTCTTATATACCGATGTTTCACAACCTAGTTCGTAGGTCGTATCAAAGCGGTTCAAAATTATTATCCTTGGTTATAGGGCCTTTGCAACCAGCCAATATCTTTCTCAACTCCCTGGGGAGCATACCGCCGGTGCTGCCATTTCGGCGCTCACAGCTTGCATTCTACAATTCTAGCACTACCCAACCACCTACTCCTTTACAGTTGAGTAGACAGGAATAAGCGGATCAAAGTATCTTGCTCAAATATACAACACAGTGGCGTGCCGTGACTCGAACCCGCAACCCTTCGGTCACGAGCCCGACGTCCTACCACTAGACTACCGTACCTATAAGTATAAGTATGCGGCACGGTTCCCCTTTGTTTGGTACGTAAATGATTTATTTATGCTTTTTTTCTATACCATTGTACAATTTTGCGTGATACACCCACCAAGCATTTACATTTGCTTCTGTTTCATGGTCCATCTTTGTATGTTACACAAACGAAGCATTTTTACTTATTTTTTTATTTTACGGGCACCAGATACATATGGGTTGCTCTCAATCACACTAACATGTGCCATTGTGTATAAAAACCAAGTAAAAATAATTCGCTCATGCACCATACAATGGTGTGCAGTGAAACAAAATCCTTCCTTCTTCGGAACCTTTCAGAAATCAATATAACGCTTTAAGTGACTCCTAATGTATTTACATTGTTGGTAAGGTCTCAGTTAATTACCAATGTATTGTCCTTCAACACTCGATGAGGTAATTAGTTGGGCGTTCGTGTTGTTTTATTACGCCTAGGAACCAATAATTCTTTTGCGGTGAGCGAAAGTGTCGCTTTCGTTCCACAGTTAGGTCATGAGGCAAAGTTACATCAAATTAAGCAATAAATCAACAAGATTACTTATTGTCTAATAAAAAACCGAATGCAGTCATCCGTATAAAAGTCAACAGTGTTTTTTAGTCTTGCCTCATTGCTTTAAGTTGAAATAAATCGTAAAGTAATGTAAAGCAAATTAAAAGGGTTCAAAGGTCCTGT